GGGAATATCAATAACGCTTACTTCTGAGAACACAAATTTTCAATTTATCTGATATCATTCAAAAATTGTGAATCTAGTTCTTTACATCGAACAATTAATGAAATATACTTATTCAAAAATAATGAAGCATCTTCAAAACCATGTAGCTAAAATGAAAGTAATACCGAAACACTGATCGTGCTTTCCTCCGAATGATTAATAATCAAAACACATTATAACTAATTAGAATATGTAATATAATACGTTATATGCAATTTGAATCATATACTATATTAGCATGATTCATGCATCAAAGCAACTATGCGTTTGTACCCGTCTTGAAAGTCACTTAAGGAATTAATTTCAAGAGCAATTCAGAGCACAGCAGTTGATGCCAGATTAAACCGCTCTCTACTCTACATGTACGAAGAAATGTTTAGAACAACGCATACATTCAAAATACAAAATCATCTAATACTATTAATGTTATTTAAATCAGCTTCACAAATAGTAAATATAATTATTGCGCAATAAACACGCGCTATCAAGACCATTTTAAACAACAAAAATCGTGCAATTATATATCTCTATCAAGTTTGACTAGCTGTGACCAGTGTTACATTATGAACATAATATTTATATGTCCAAAAAATTATATTATAGATTTATTATATTCTATAATAGATTTTTCATTGAATTGAAATGAGCCATGGTGCAATGGCAACATGCTCAACTCACAAAAGAACAGTACCAAGATCGAATTCCGGTACTTAAATTAATTGTAAATACATATTCGACTTTTTTAATTACAATATTTGTTACAACTGTTAAATAATTTAACATCTAGTAACAATGATGAACAATAAGATAAATTTAAATAAAAAAGAGTACAAAATAAATGATAGCATTTTCATTAAAATGAAATCCGTGGTATGATGATTTAATATAAAATAAAAGCAAATAATAATAATAAATAATAATTAAATTAATAAATAAAATAAAATATTTGTAAATATTGGACATAGTAAACTAATCGAACGAACCAACCAAATAAGTATTGGAAATCATTGTAATAAAATTAGTCAAAAAAGCATGTAAAAATAAAATACAGTAGAATATGTAAAACAAATAATGTATGTTGAAAGCAAAATGATGAATTTTTAATGAATATGTAGAAATAATATGAAATATAAAATAAGAGAAATATTGTATGTAGCTAACTGCAGCATCGAAGCAAAATATATGATACTGAATAGGCTATATGTAGATTGAGCGTATTTAAAAAAATTTAATATTACTTCTGTAATATTTGAACAGATGAAATGATTCGAACGAATCTGCAATATGCACAAATAAATAAAATAAAATTGATAAATTCAAGTCCCCATTTACTGAGTTGGTATATAAATCAATACTTAAGAATATTTTTTGCAAGTTAATAACCCGTGTCTATCAATAAGTCATGTAAATTTGTTGATGCTGATGATTAGCACAAAAAAATCAAAAACTACGTATCTGTGTCGAAAAATAAATGATATTCATACAAAATAGATAACTAAACTTATTGTGTATCAATTCATTCCATTAAATATATTATTTATCTTCATTGTTATCAATAGTAATCGAAGCATATAGTAAATTAGTATTGAATTTCCTAAACTTCTCAGAGGTAAAATGATATGAATAATAATGAATAAGTTGAGGGCTTATTAGAAAGTAATTAAATGAAAAGTACGTAAACTTTGAATAATAATTCATCACCTTTTTGATGATATTATAATTATTATTACAAATGAAAGCCAATGGCATAGATATTGATCTCACTGAAACACAAAAATAATTTCAAATGCTTTTTTTCATAAATAAAACGACCGAATATTGCAGCTTCATCAGAAAAAGCAATAAAAATTAAGAACATATTCTTATATACATTAAATAATTTGTGTGCAAATTGAATTATCACAATGATATAATACATATATTATTGTAATAATTATATTATATTGAATCATTCATTGCATTAAAAATATTATTGTTCTTCATTGAAAGCATTAGTCATCCAGAATATTAAAGACAAAGACAAGATTTCACTTAATTCAAATACGTGTTTAAGATTTTCATTGAAATAGCCTTAAGCCACAAAATAACGGAAATACTGCTTTCAGCAATGAAGGAAGTGATCAAAATTAATCATCAAAAAGTAATAATAAAAGTATGTGATAACGTATGAAAATATGTTTATCGACCTTAAACCAATATTAGAATTTTGAAATAATTTGTCTTATAAAATTAAAGATATTATCGAATTTGAAAGTAATATTTTCGACTTATACTGATATAGCATTTAAGTCACAAAATGTCACAAAATTTACAATTTACAAGTTCAAATGCCCAAACCGTAACCGTATTCATCAAACAGCAATAAAATGCAAGAGTTTCAATGAACAAACATTGAAATTAATTATGATTTTAATTGGAAATTATTTTTTTTGATTTTCAGGCTGTTAAAGGAATGCGACATGTACCACAATGGCATTGTCTGCGTTACAGAAAATTCGACTTCCAGCTGGTGCGAAGATGTCGAAATCATCGAGGCATCAGAAGATACTGATCTTAAATATCTTCGTATAAAATAAAAACTAAGATCTCATTCGTTAATAATTAAGATATTAATATTAATAATCGATGTGAAAATAAAATGTCTAAACGTACATATTACGCACACAAAAGATAAATATTGAAGTACATAATCTCTCATATTGACTTCATTTACTTAATTTTATATGCAAAAACCAAGGAAATTATTTTAGAAAACTGAATGTATATTGTTTATTAAATATGATTTGATTAAAAATTCCAGACAAAAATAGTTATCAGTCTTTTAAAAGATTATGTAGTAGACCAATTTTGTATTAAATAAATTTATAGTTATGTAATTAAGCTAAGAAAATAAGTTCCAATGTAATATTTGTTTAGCTAATTGACTGACTGCTAATTTTAGTATAGATTTTAATCACGTATTATTAATGTACACAAGATAATTGTATATGGTGAAATAAATTTATTTATTAATTAATAATTAATCAAGTGTTTCAATGTTTATTACACAGTTTTTGTTTTGAATGTATTTGAAAATAAAATGCATACTAAAGCAATGACGGATCCAAGCAGATGCAAAAATGAATTAACAGCGATGATGCTCTTAATACTTAAGCATTTGGTAAAATAATCACGATAAACAATAATACTATAATAATAAAACAAAGCAAGAAAAATATATGCCACTTCCAAGATGCAGTATGTATTTAAAATTATTTCATTCGTGAGGTATTATTTTATTCAAAATGATTTAGTATCATTTTTTGTGAAAATATATTAATATGTTGAAAAAATATCAATACCAATCTACAAGCATAAACCCAATTCTATCTACCATTCATAATTATGTTAAATAAAAACTTAATAATACCACTAACCTCTTTAATTGAATTGCTACCAGGCACACCAATCGTACTGTGAATATTTTGAGCAACTGTAGAAACACCAGATCTTCTCTGCATAGCCATCATGGCTCCAAATGCTGTTCCAGGCACATGGGGAGGTTGTTCACTAGTTGTACTGGATGTTGCGTAATCTTCTTCTGTACTGGATTCTAAGCACAGTAATTCCTGAAATATAAAAGATTTGTTTATTGTTTGTCATATTTGGTCATTTTATTAAAAAAACATATTTAACATATTCAATCCTTTCACTATACAGTTGCACCCTACACATTAGTGACCTTATATGGAGCGAATTTTTGCTTTGACATAAGTGCAAAATTTGAGATACAAGCTTTGAGCAAGTAAGAGTTTTCTAGAAAAACGCAAATAAAAGTATGAAAAATTTTATCAGTTGCAACAATAAATTTTCCTGCCATAGAATATTTTGGCTATTTTGTGGTAGCAATTTATTTCATAGTTAGTCATTTCAATTTTATATGAATACTAATGGTGCAGTAACAATTGACCCATGCGAATTAATCAAAATTTATTTTAACTTTTGAAATTTTAACTATACATTAATAATGATTATTTTGTAATGCACAATTATATATGTTAAATTCGTGTTTTTGCTTTCTGTAATTCACATTTTAACAATACTTAATTATTTAATTAATATTTAAATTAATTAATAGTAAGTTTATTTTTAATGGCATTTCAACGTATTAATTTGGTAAAAACGGCATCGAGATACGAGCGATTTGACATATGAGCGTGGTTACGGAACAAATTAAAATCGTGTGTCAGGGTACCCACATTCAACTATAAAATTTGTTAATATAAAGTAACACTTACCTGATTGCTATCCAGGAAATAAAGTTGGGAGTTCTCTTGCCAGCTAATTTTATAATTATAAATATTTTGATTTGGTACCCATACGGCGTGCTTAATTTTCGTCAATTGAGATAAATCCTTTGTGTATATAGGGCTACATTCACTAGGTTTAAACACAAATACTAAAAAACAAAAATAATAAGCATTATTATTTCAAATTACAAAAATAATACAAATGCTGTATATGTTTAAATATGTATTATATATTTATTATATGCATAATACTCACAAGTATTGTCTTCACTGAAAGCAGCCATATGTGTACTCACTGGATCACCAACTAAAATAGCTACAGAAATATTTACCATCCATAAGGATCTTAAAGACATCACGTCCCATACAACGAGATGAGAAGCATTACATGAGACAAGCTGCAATGGAAAAATATTTATTTATCTAAAAAATTGTAGCAAATTTTATAACAAATCTCACTATTCTCATGATGCAATTTAGTATAATTAACATATTCATTATTAATTACCAAATGCCCCATGTCTCCACAACCAAAAAGAACTTTCTTAACATCACTCTGTGGCCCAACATGTGTTAATGAACATTTCAAGCTAAGATCATCAGGTCTCCAGATGGTAACACATGGTCCAAATCCACAAGCTAATAAAGAACCATCCATTGAAAGTTAATACATTAGCCGGAAGATCCTTATGTTTTACAGAACCCACGCATTGCCAATGTCTTTTTTCTAAAATATAATATAGAGTTAAAAACAAAACAAAAACAATATAAAGATTAATATACATACTGTGAATAGGAGTGGATTCCATAAACTTCCATATTTTAAGCAAATTATCTTTCCCAACAGAAGCACAAAGAAATTGTTTACCAATTTCTTGGAATTTAATATCGCAAACACGCCCATTGTGTGGATGGTCTATACATGTGTTTAATGAGTATCTACAAAAAAATTACTATTAGATAAGAAAAACAAATAATAGATGTTAATATGTTATCTAACTCAATCTATTAAATAAGAGCACTAAAATCTAGTTGGATTATTATAAATCTGAATTTTTCAAACTACCAAATAATAGCAATATGTGAATTAAAAACTAATGACTAAAAATAAAATCTTATACATTTGTTTAGCTGAATTGTATTCCCAAAATTTAGTCTACTTTCGAAATGTGTAACACTATCGTCTCTATGCTCAATTGTGGCCATCCAGGTTCTTAAATCGGTGGATTGATCTGATAACACTCCAATAGCTACAAGTACTACTGAAGTATTAATTATATCCAGATTTCTTTCAGCTGTCAATTGATTTTGAAGTGTTATATCAACCTAGAAAAACAAAATGATATTTTGTCAAACAATAAAAGAATATCTTCATAATAATAGATGCTTACCTATATAATAAACTTTTAGAATGAGTAGAATAAAATTGGACATGCCCTGTTTGGCCATTTAGAACTATGGATTGTGTAGTTGGATCATATACTAAACCGGCTGGAAAAGGTGGTTCAGCATTTGTTTTCGGTACATTTACAGAGTCTTTCAAATCCACATAAACACCCCAAGCAAAGTGCTGAATACATGATATTATTCTATTTTGTGCATCTAAAATTTGAACACCTGAAAAATAAGATTCATGTATTTTCACATGTTATATTACCACACTGTAAAAATTGTAAATACATTTCCGCTCTAAACTAATTTCCATAAAATCCATTTTAGCCAAGTATAAACTAGACCCACATATTCAACTATTTTTTAATTTAAATTTTATTTACTATTTTTTAAACTATTAAAATAGTACACACTCAAGTTGTGTCAACAGAATATCTGTACTAAGTTACAATGTTTTGCTCTAAGAAATGTATTGCACAATAAAATGAAATACGGGTATGAGATAAATATTACATACATTTGAACAACAAATGTATTAAATTATGGATTAATGTAAGCCTAAATTAACATAAACATATCTAATAATATCTAGTTTTAATCCATCATTAAAAAAAATCATAATGAATTGTTTACTATCTACATAATTAGTAAGTAAAAGAAAAAAACAATATATAGCACTTACCATTATCCTGAGTGCAAATTGCAACCCTATGATTTTCTGGGCCAACTGCTATATGACAAACACCACCAGGCAAACGGGGAAGAGTACTACGGTGATTTGGATTATCAACAGTCCATTTAACGAGCACTCGCTCATGACCTCCAGAATAGAAATGACTTCCAGATTTTGTGAAAGCCAAACATGCCACGGGCAATGTATGCCAATGATAAATTGCCTAAAAATAAATTTAGTGAGATAACTTAATATAAATAGTTATGGAAGAAATTGTTAAAAATGTAAAGCTTATAAGTACTGAAACCAACAAGCAAAATGAGCAACTTTATTGGCATTGTTAGTGCAAATACTAATTCTTTGTTTGTAATATTTTATTTTTATCAATTAATGAGTTTAAAAACAATCTGACAAATACAGATCAATGTCTTAATCATAATCTTAATATTGTAATTTTTACTTATTGCATTAGTGTTGAAATGAACAAATGAACATGCTTTGTATCAGTTAAATTCATTGCTATAAAATTAACCAGATATTTTACTAATAGTCTGGTTTGTATAAAAGAAATATGTATCAATATTACCTGTGCACTTCTTTCCTCGCAAAGAATGCCTTGCCATAAAATGACCCTGCCAGTGGTCTCGCCAGTCAAAACAAATAGTACTCTGGATGACACTCAACACAAGTGAAAGAACTATTTTCTGATATATATTTTCTAAAAGTACATGTGATTATTAAAAATAGATTTTAAATCATTATTATAACATTATATACATACAATGAAAGAGGTAATTTCATTGACAAATCAATGGTATATAATTTGTTCAATTGCACTATTGATAAAAATTGAGATCCAGGTCGTCCACCAATTGATAATTTGAAGCTTGCTGATTTGAGAGAAACTTCAATCTTGTCTTCAATGTTCCATTTTGTAAATTAAAAAGTCCGAAGTGATATTTTTGCCTTTCAATATGTTTCCATGAAATTAAAATTGCACCTTTATCGATAGCAACTAGGTCAAATGTAGATATGCAAAATTTGTTATCAAGTTTGATTTGCTGAAAGAGAAAATATATATATTTATTATTCGAAATGTTTGACATTCTGTTATAAATAAAGTTTAGTACTATATCACTAATTATAAGAAAAAAATGAAATGATTAAATTAAGAATATGATATATACAAAAACATGACTAGATTCCTATTCATTCAAAGTAAATACTAAGTAAATGCTCAAATAGGACAAAATAAGGGCAATAATGATCATTATATTTATAAATTCCATAATTACAATTTATTGTGATAAATTCCAGACTTCCATTACTTCCACCAAATCCGATTTCTCCACTTTCAGAACAAGCTATTAACAGTTTTGAATTATAAGGATGAAAATGAACAGCAACAATGTTATCGATGAGCCCCTCATAGTCCCGAAGAAGTTCTCCAGTTTGTACACTGTAGGCTCTAACTACATTACCCCATATTACATAAATAATCCTAGTAAGAACAAACGTCGTATTAATATTTAACATTAAATATTATAATTCATTTACAATACATACTGTCCATTGTCAGAAAATAGCGGTCTGTGATTTATAACACTGCCTCCACCTTTTCGTTTTATAACTAATTCTTCCACAGGTTGATCAGAAGTTATGCAAACCATATTTTTTAATAATAATATCCATAAATATTAACGACTAAATGTGTTTATTCTAATAACATATTAATAAATCAAATGGTTTGAAAACATGCGTCTATCACACATTTCACGGATTTAACTCTAACCTCAAACCTCATAACACATTGAAAATTAAATCTGAAAATATAATTCATAGCCAACTTCACTATTGAGTTCCGTCAATATTTTATACAGCCTTTTTCCTGTTTATTTCAAAAAGGTTATGTTATTAAATTCTAGTTTGTAATGGTTAAAGACGTATATAAATGTCACTGTTGTTAATTTATTAAGAAATATATTGTAAATAAACTAAAATTTCTGAGACGTTAAGATTTTCATTACACCATAATAAATGAGCAGTTCACAGAGCACAGACGTGCAAGTCCAAGTACGACTCTTCACCAAACAAGAACAGTGAGCCTATTTTATTCGTTTTTATATTCTTAACCCAATTGTCAATTTCTGCATATGATATTTCCATCCCCAGATATGCTATTCCTGATTCACCATGTTGGATTCCAGTATCTTCTACTATTGAAACTTTAAACAATCTTGTAAATGCAATAATTCTAGAATCACAAAGTGACAGACAACATGTGGATTTCGACTTTCTTATAAATAATGAGTTTTGAGATTGCCACTTGGTGAGCACTTGCAAAGCAAAGAAATATCTACTGAAGATGTCATTGACGTTGAATACGTTGAGAGACATCCATCTCCTGAACCCCAGGATTGTCTCATGCACGATGATTGGGTGTCATCAGCTCAAACCTTTGGAAAATGGAACTTTTTTATAAAACAGATGAATGCATTGAAAGTCTTGTTTTATTGTCTTTTATTTTTTTTAAGGATATTGACTGGCTGTTACGATGGTACAGTCCACATATGGACAACCAAAGGTACCGAAGTCCTTACAATACCAGCACATGCAGATCCTGTAAAAGCAGTTGCTTGGATATCTGTGAATGACAAGACATCACATTTGTTAGGTAATACAAACTGCTAACTTTTCAAAATGTTCCATCTTATTCATTTGATCTACTGGCAATGGAATTTTTTCTATTTTCTATTTCTCTAGCGTATCACATGATCAAAGCGCACACATTTGGCAATGGAATATATCAGATAATGCTGTTGAATGTGTTGTTGTTTGCAAAGGTCATGAACGTGGATTAGAATGTGTATCAGTCAATAAAGATGGATCTCTAATGGCAACTGGAAGTTGGGATACTTTTCTTAAAATTTGGGGTGCTTGTAAGTAAATGTACTTCAAAATATAATAATTATGATCTGAGGGTATTAAGTTCTGATTCTTCATTCAGCTTTAGAAGATACAGATGCTGGAGAGTCTTCTAGTAAACGTTTGAAGGGTGATAATGGAAAAGTTAGAGTAAGTAAAAATAATTATCATTTTAAATAAAATTCTTTTTTTATATGCATTGAATTTTTAGATACCACAAATGACTTTACAAGGGCATAAAGAAGCCATATTGTCAGCTCAATGGATCGATACAAATACAATAGCTACCGCTTCATGGGATCATACAATAAAATTATGGGATGCTGAATTGGGTGGAATAAAAAGTGAAATTGTGGGAAATAAAGCATTTTTCGATTTGGATCATTCCACTGTTAACAACATGATAATTACATGTTCTGCAGATAGACATGTTAGGCTTTATGATCCACGGTCCAATGGTAAGAAAATAATAGATAATCTGAAGTAAAAAATACTTAGTGTGTGGAGCCTATAATTTAGTTTAACAAAAGGCTCCATTATTCTATAAAAAATCCATTTAAATATGGATTTATTTAAGCTACACAAAATGAATTTACATATAAAATATAATTATAATTGTTTTCAGAGGGAAGCCTAGTAAAACAAACTTACACATCCCATACACAGTGGGTTCAGTCTGTTTGCTGGTCAAAGAATGAAGAACATTTGTTTTTGTCTGGTGGATATGATAATCAAGTGAAACTCTGGGATTGCAGAAGGTAAATATTTTAAATAACTAAACTGCAATACACCATTTAGATATAGATAGACAAATATTAACATTGTACATTTAATTTGTAGCTCCAAAGCACCATTATTTGAACTCTCTGGACATGAAGATAATGTTCTTACTTGTGACTGGTCAAATCCAAAATACATGGTATCAGGAGGAAAAGACAATACTGTTCGAATATTTAAGTCAAAAAATGCTAATAAGAAAGAATTAGAGAGTTAAATAGAATGAATTAGTAAAAATACTTCTTTTAATATTGTATACTGCCATTACTTTATTTTGTGTGATGTTAGTTAGACGTACTCAAATCAACTAATGACTGCCTCAACTAGTAAAAGAATCATGGTTATTTATAACATTTACACTATATTCAAATACAACTTTCAACTACCTAATATATTATGTTATGCACTGTGCAACCATTAAAATTTTTAGTAATCTATATAAACAAACATATAAATGATAGTTCAAAAATGCAATATGATTTTTAATCCAAATCATAAAGTTCTAAGGTTCACATTACAGCCTATCCTAAAATCTATCGTGGCATTGGCATGGCGGATCCAGGTCCTAATAAGACCTGTAAAAGAAAATATTTATTAAGACACATTTTTCATGAAAAATAAAATTGATGGTATATATATATATTAGGTTGTCAAATATCTCTCTTCCGCTTTTTTGCTCTTGGTTTATAATACAAAAAGGCGGAAGGAAGAATTAAATATATATATATATATATATATATATATATATATACGAGGTCTGTTCAAAAGTACCCGGAATTACTAATAATTAAATTTCGCGGGTCTGAGTGTCTGATTGTCAAAATTTTTTTTTTATTGTGTTGGTATACATGCCCTAAAGTATGATGAAATTTTCAGCTATATTCACTGTTTACTTTGTCTGTGGTAGTCGCTAAGGTTCGACGTGTTTTTCTGAGCTCGGCGATTTTTACAATGGAAGAATTGAAAAGTCAAAGAATTTGTATTAAATTTTGCGTAAAAAATGAAATAAAGTGTTGCAAAGTGCAAAAATTCACCAGATATGGCTCCGTGTGACTTTTTCCTATTCCCAAAGTTGAAGAGACCCATGAAAGGACGGCGGTTTTCCTCGATTGAAGAAAATCGCTGAGAGTGCTCAAGGACATATCAAAAAGTGAATATCAAGGGTGCTTCGAAAATTGGAAAAAACGCTGGCATAAGTGTATTATATCTGGGGGGGACTACTTTGAAGGGGACCACATTAATGTAGACGAATAAATAAATATTTTTTTGAAAAAACGAAAATTCCGGGTACTTTTTGAACAGACCTCATATATATATATATATATATATATATATATATATACAATCACATTTCATCTCACAAATTAAAAATTCTCTTTAAACTTCAATGGAAAATCTTAAATATTATAAATTCGTTATACATTAATCACATAGGGCTTGAAATGGGGGGATGATAGAATCAAGTATCACCCAATACAATATGAGAATATAATATTGTATTTATTTTATTTATCTAGATTTCCAAAAATTGTATGATTTTTGTAGGCACTATAAAAATAAACATGATGTTGAATGTGGAATGTTCGAAGGGGCACAATTTCAAATATCACAACTATTACCAATGGGGAGTAGAGGCAGAAAAATGCTTGAAAAATTAACCCATGATTAATATATGGTTCCTTTTTTTACTACAGTTTGGACTAAAATATCTATTATCTTATGTGTTATCTTAATAATTTACCTGTTTTTGTTGGCTTCTCTGCATTTGTTCCATTTGTGCCCTCTCTACTTCAAACATAACAGGTGCAAATAAAATAATTGATGAACTAAAAAAGAGCCATGTAGCTGCACACGAGAAAGCATATAAGCCTTTTACTCCTCTATAAGAGTTGTATGTAAGTTTTGATACTGCTTTACGAACGGGTTCAGGAAACATTTCAGTTAAACCTATAAGACGTTCTGCCAATGTTTCATCAGGCTCCTGGAAGAAGAAATCTTGTATTAAACATTTGGTAATATATAATAAAAATATGCATTATTTATACAGAAAAAACTGTACCCATTAAAAGTTTCTCAAATATTAATAAATACCCAATATGTAAATAAGAAGAGAGCAAATTAATCATGTAATGTTTGTTTAAAAGGGTTTTAATGTGTATCAATATCACAAGTTTTTGCCAAGTTTGTTTTTATGAAATATTCAAAGATTTCTATCTATTCTTATTTTTAAAAAAAGTTTTTGCCGTTTTATTTTTATGAAATATTCAAAGATCTATTAACAGGTTTTTTAACAAATTTTTTGCCATTTTATTTTTATGAAATATTCAAAGATATCTATTCACGGATTTTTTAACAAAGTTTTTGCCGTAGTTATATGTCAAATATTTTTGACTATGATTAAATACAGGTATTTAACAAACAAATATAAAAAAAAACAACTAAAACATTCTTTGCAGAAATATGTTAAGTAATCTGAGATTTTCCAATTACTCTGATAAAAATCAATCATAATTTTATAGCAAGTCGATCAATCATTAATTGCAATACATACAAAATTGTACAGAAATTATGAAAAGATTTTAACATGAGGGACATTATATTCAATTTCAAGCAATGATAGCAATTTTACATATAAACGAGTTTGTTGTAAATGTGAAAATAGTATTTAGAGCAAATACCACTAAATTGCTTATCTGTCCATCCAATAAACATCTTATTAATCATAAGAAATAAAAATATTGAAAAAATTTGAATTATGAATATGATGTTTGCCTCTAAATTATCTACAAATATTTATTATATAACTTAATTATGAATTAAAATGAATTATGTTCAACTACGACATTCTTTACATAAATACATAGAGAAATCTAAGTTTTTGACAATTACTCAATAGAAAAATCTAAATTTTCTATCAATACAACATAATCACTAACTGCTATATATATTTAATAATGTTCCTATTGTACAAAAGTTATGAAGAGCGCCTTAAGCATGAGGGAAATAATAAGCAATTTCGAGCAATAAAATAGATATGATTACATTTTCGCGTGCAAAACATATAGTTGAAAATGTGAAAAATGAAACGTTTCCTAAAATACTACTAATTCGCCTTGTAAAGCATTTCAAATCTATCTTTCCTAAATATGTCCTTTACAATTGAGGTTATGTATTACAAATTTAATACTTACATCGTCATAATTTTCTGTAGATTTTGCCACGACTCCTGTCAACTACAAAAAAATATTTTCATTAATTAATATCAACACGACTCAAAAATTACTAAATATTTATATTATCACAACACACCTCGTCAGATTTTCGTTCCGGAGTTTCATCTTTGCTATTTCCCGAATCCATTCCGCTATCAACTGACCAATCTTCTAATTCGACTGCAGAATCATCCATCAGAAAAACAACGAATTAATAATTAATACACTTTGGCAGTCTTTTATTTTATTTAACAATTATTATGGATTAAAATTGATAGCACCATGAACCTTTTTACTTACGGTAAAAGTACGAGATGTCACTGCTGCAAGTTTCAAACTCTTCAAACTTCAGACCCAATAAACAGACTTTCAACTTGACCAATGTAAAAAACGATGACGCGGAAATTCAAATTATTGAAATAAAAATAAGATTAAATTATGCTACTTAAAATTAAAATTGACCCGAATGAATTACTGATGTTTTCATATGTTTTGGTTTTTTTTGAATTTCTCTTGTTTTTGGATCCCGCATATTTTCGTAACGCTTTCTATGTGGATAATATTTATAATTTATTTTGGTTAAATAATGGCAAGTTGATTTTTTTTATTGATTAGTATCAAAATTATAATCGAAGTTATTATAACTATTTTTACAATTATTGTAAATCACTTTTATTATTTTCCGTTATCGAATTAAAGTTATAAGTATTACAGAATTTATTATTTGATATGCTAGAAGCTTTGGTATTATAACTCAAGATTCGATACCTTCACCGAACAGCCCGGTATCAAGCAGTGGTGATACAGATTTTTACCTAAAAATATAGGTATAGAACAATATTGTGACAATAGCTCTTCTCTGGAAATGCTGCATTATATTAAAAATATTTATGAAAAAGCTTATATTCATTTCATGTATGGTTCCAATTTGTTACTTGCAAAATGTACTTGAATTATTTATTACTTAACAACAAAAAAATTCGCTTAAAAATCGATTTTATCAACTATTATGCTTCTCCGTGGCTCACATGGTGGAAGCTTTAATGTTGTGACCCAAGGTTCTAGATTCGATACCCACCCCGAGCAGACTGATATCAAGCAGTAGTGATATAGGATCTTACTTGAAAATTAAGATATGGAACAATATTACAACAGTAATTATTTTTGCAATTGGTGCAATGAATTAAAGATTTGTTATTCTATTTATATACTCTTAGTATAGTAACTAATCACTATTGAGTAGAGAAATATAGTTAAAACAATTTCTGATTGAAGTCTGAAGAAGAAATAAATAAATAAATAAATAAAAAAACTCATGCTTTTATAGATTTTTGGTTTTACACGCAGTATGCTATGCTATGTTTGTAATTATACATTTAATTTACGCCATTTTACTTGCCTTTAATAATTTTTTACTTCTCCAGCACATTTTTCCAATTAAACGGGAGAAATACCTCATCAAATGTAATTAAAAAATACTGTCTGGTATTCATTGCATTTTAGTCCAGGACTGGACGACACAAAATTGGATTTTTGGAAATTGGAAAACAAATTGTAGAGTATAATGTTTTAACAAGCCCGGGTTTTTAGATTTTTACCTTTCTAAATGTTATCAAATCAAAAGTCGATATATTTCTTAATAAAGAACCAAAGTTGATAAGCAAGAAATTGAATTCAGTATCTTATACATAGTAAATACATACATTTTTACATAATTCATGCATCCATATTAGATAGGACATTAACCTCACTTATTAAAGAAATTTTTTTTCTATCTTGTGTAGTTCCAGATATGTTTTGGTATGTTATTATAAAATTAAACAGGCCCATGGTATGAGAGCATCACAAAATCAATGATTTTCTTCTCATCCCTTGTTTACCCATTACCCATTACCGTTTTATTACCATTAATTAATGAACATTGATCATTTTATATTAGTTTGTATAAATTTTCCTTTCCAAACTTTTGCTTCCATGCTTCCTGATCCTGTGCCTCAGCTTTCAGTTTTCTGTATTTTTTCTTTTCGCGTAAGACATCAATCTTCTGCATTCTTCTTCTCCCAATCCTTTCAGTCCTTCTATTTTGCCTTCGACGACGTCGTGTAGAAGGCACTCTCTTTGCAGAATGGATCTGATTCAGTTTCCTTTTCTTTTCAGGATCGTGCTCAGTAGAGTCCTTCATTCGCTCACCTTTGTCAGGACTTCTTCATTTGTTATCTTGTCAGTCCACTTTATTTTCTCCATTCGCCTTATGCAATGTGATTTAATATTAATAAAATGATGTTATCGAGAAAATTAAAACGCAGAGTTTTTTCAACTTTTAATGTTACAATTATACATATAACATGTTACATAGTTTTTAACTTCGATATGAAGAATAGATTAATAATATAAATATGTATCTACAAATCAGCGTATGAAATCCAATGATATACGCATATAAATATAGGTATATATTAATTTTTAACAAATATTAAAAATATTTTTATTTCAATTATAATTAGGTAATTTGTTTTTGTTGTAGTTTTCATGTAATTTATAAAGAATAAGGCAATTTCGTAACATTTTTGTTAAGAACTGAAGTGCTTATCATAATAATGTGTACATATTTTAAAAAATTGCAATAAATGTATTTGGAAGTTTTTTTTCACAATTGGGCCAATTCATACTCTTAGAGTAAAAGTAGATTTTCACATAAACTTAAAAAGAATAGAATAGATACAGTACAGGTACGATTGAATTGCAGATTTTCCGTCAATGATGACGAATGTACAACTAACATCAAACTTGCAAGCAAAAATGGTTACTTTTAGAAATTGATGATTTTTATTCAGTTTTATGAGCGATTTGATCAAAATGATTTTTTTAAATATGTTCGTATTATTCGAACAATTTACAACAAGCGTTTTATTTCTACTAATACATCGCGTATTCTAAGAATTTTAATAACAGTATATAAATTATCGTCGTTATTATTGCAATTTTATTCTAAATGATTTATGATATATAATATAATATTTATGACAATACATTCGATAATGTAATTTTACATTTTTAAATATAATACAACCTTATATAAGTATCACACCATCTTGTATTTATGAAAATAGTCTCGCAAACTCTGAAAAGAATAAAATATCGTTAGTATTATTTCTAGATAAACTAAAAGCAGATAATTCAAGACAAATATTTAACCGATCCAAAATTATATTAAAAAATGTAATGATAATAACTTTCATTCATGTAAAACCGATTGTTATAACTCAGAAGATATAATACATACTTATCATAACATTAATTTTATTTTTCAGAACTAACGGTATGAAATTTTCTCATTCTTCCAAAAAGTTTATTCTATTTTTATTTAAATTTACCATAATCAACTATAGTTGTAGTAAAATGTATGAATCACTTGCATATTAAATAACATATAAGTATATTATATTCTGTTTTTAATTTACCACATTTTTCATAATCTATGTACATTGATTAAGCTATGAATCTATTGCAAATTTGTTCAAAATTAATAATTATACTGATTTTGTTTTTTGAAATATTATTTTAGAGTTCTAACTTGTGATTTAGCTATTAGATTTTAATTCATCTTATTTAATAGAAGTCTTTTCTAGATTTTGTCAAGTCTGGCCGATATACGAACAGTCACAATCCGTACAATTGAATTTGTGGACAACGTCTTACCTTTCTTGTAACTGTGTTCAATTTTTATATATCGGTGTCAAAATTATGAATATGTTTCACCTGATCACAATGCTTAAACTCTACTTTTCTATTTTACGCAACTAACCATTGGAGTAAAACGAACTTTTTTCTGGCACTTATCACATATTAGTGTTATATATCTTTTACACACGACAGAACTTTTTTGCTAGCTCACATCATATACTAGTGCTATTTATCATCTACAGAAAACAATTTGATCATATTTTATTAACTTTTCATATATTCATTTATAGGGATGATGAGACAAACAATTGCCGTGAAAGGTAAACGTTGAAGTTGTACTTACTAATAAAAAAACTACATAACATTCAATCTGAGATCAACTTTTCTTGGTATTAGTTTCCAGTCGAATTTAATTATTAAAATGACATCTAATATAAAATAATAATTCTCATCTAATATAAAAATAATCCCTCGGATGCCGCCGCTTCGGCGGCAAAAACATACTAATCCGGAATTAGCGAGTGGAAAGGGTTAAAAAGTAGCGAATGTAAGTAAGTATAAAGTCTATTAGTGTTTAGAATGACGATGGAACCTATTTATAAAATAAAAATCGTTATTGGCTGTACACACTTGTGATCTTCCGTGAAAAATCTTTATAATATTATATTAATAGATGCATTTTTTCGTATTCATTAAACGAGCAAAGAATTTGGCACAGATACCACCCAAGCTGAAAGGTCTCCAAAATTTGACTTTAAAACTATTCCCTATATATTTAATTTGATTGACAATAAAACTATGCAAAAAACTATTTCCATTCGAAGTCTACCTTTTAATTATGCCTAAATGATTGAAAAAAAAGTAATATAAATGAACATTATAGTAAGGGAAAAAATTCCAAATCCAATTATTGCCATAAAATGCTTACAATTGAGTGAAATAAATTAGAAAAAACTTTACGAAAACCTTACTTTTCATGGTAACAGATGGTGGTAATTTAGAAATTTTAGTCAAAATATAGCAGGGTTACGATTTATATATATATATATATATATAATATATATATATATATATATATATATATATATAATATATATATATATATATATATATATATATATAAATACATATACAAATGAATACAAATTACCTTCAAAGTTGATGCGTCCATCCTTGTCCGTATCGGCCAACGTCATCAACTCGGTGACCTGCTGCTCCGTGACATTTTCGCCGATCATCTCCATGGCGGTTCGCAATTCGTCTCGGGAAATGTATCCATTACCATCTCGGTCGAACACCCTAATAAAGAAAAATCAACCATCTCAGACAAAATTGATCGGACAGATTTAATGAAAATTAAAAATGTCTGCTTCTAAATATAGAACACCTTTGACTTCGGAAAGATATAGGCAAATATATAAGTGTTAAAATAGTATGCAATGTGATTTCACAAAAGTTTATAACGACATTAAAAAACTAAAATCAAAACACTATTAATTACCAAGTAGTTTTGCAGGCTTTCCGAAAGTTTGAATAACCTCTACTTTCTTATTT